GACTACTAAGGTCAGTTTCATCTGATGAAGATCTCAACAGACAGGTGCAGAAGATTTTCTATTTCAGTTAAAGCTTTGTGTTTCAGTGTTTTCATGATAGGCTTGGTGCCAATATCTGCTTTAGCTGTACTTAGTAGAGGTACAAAATGAGATTTATGTTTGAAGATCTAGTGGGTAGGGACTCTACTATTCTCAAATTAAGAGTCACTAATCCCAGAAACTATTATTTTGTTAAAATAGAGTCACTCTGAAATTACTGATACAAGATTCATTCACTTAGAGACCAATTTTTTTGTTTCTATTTTTATTCATGTGATGTCTAATAAAAAATGCAGAAATAATCTTGGAACTGACCTTAGTAAGGAACATAAAATTTTGTATTTCCTTCACCTCCATTTGATCCTGTCTCCACACTGCAAACATAAATATGCCTAGTAGTTCTGGATAGTATTTTTTTTTTGCTTCCTTTCATTTTCCTTATTTTTTTTCCTGGCTAGGTAAAATTGTTGAGAGGTGAATAACAAGCATCCTTACGTGGGATGACAACTAATTAAGAGTACTTGGGGTCAGTCTGTCTGGTTTGGGGCTCTTCTTTTTTCCCTAGAGAAATATGCTTTTAATATACTATTATCTGTGTAATGTCATGTTTCAAGGCTTTTTTAAGCAAGTACACAACTGAATTCCCTAAAAAACCCGTGGAGTCAAGTGCTTCTTGGACAGAGAGCAGGAGCACATAATAGAGACCAAGAGAGGAGCAAGAATGCATTAAATTGGAAATTTGGTCAATCATTTCATAATCTGGAGCCATGCTTCAGGCAATAGAATACATTAGTGCCTTTTTCTGAATCACTCCCATTAATTTAAATAAATGAAATACTCATAATTTTCACTTAAAGAAAAAAAAAAACCTACTGAAAATCTTAACTATTAAGAATGGAAATATATATATCTAACAATTAATTTGAATGCATCATAAATTCCCTTCCTAGTAAACCAAACTGCTATTATATTGAGGTCATTTAAAAGCCAAAACAAGATTAATCTAAGCTTTTCACCATGTTCTACTCAGTCTGAATGCCAAGGAGCCCCATCATCCTGTAGCCTTAAGGAATAAAGTATAAATTATGGAAATACAGCTGTATGTTGGACAACTTTGGAATGCAACTAAAAGACTCTTGAGTTACATGAGTTAGTCACAGGAAAACATGTTTGCACCCAAAGAAAGGAGTGATTGAAAGACAGCTCAATGTGAACACAAAAGATTTTGATTCACTTTCCTGATATTTTGATTAGAAATAAAAATACCTCTCCATCCCAATAATTTTCATTTTAACAGGGAAATATTTGAAAGTTCATTTTAAAGGTGTAACTGCAGTACATTTTGTTGCATTACTGTCTGTCTGGTTATTTCTTTGGCTGACAGATTACCACACAGCTATATTTTTGACTCCTTCATGAATCACCTGTATCACAACTTCAGTCTCAGATTTCTAGTCAACAGTTCTCCAGTGGTGGGCTGATGACAAGACTTAAGACTGTAAACCCCTGACAGTAAATTTCGATGGCATTATCAGTTCTGAAATTAAGTTGATATTGCAGCACTGGTTCTTTTTCTGAGGAGGTGTTAATTACTAATGTTACTAATGCAATATTTTTCACAAAGCATATCTTTTGAGATAGTAAACTTATTGAGAAAGTGTAGGTGATATAGCAATAAACGTTTTCAACCAGGAAAGGTACTGTCTGTCTGTGGCATAACTCACACGTGAGACCCTAATTTGGCCAGTCTCAAGTCCTCAATGTCTTTTATCATTTGCTATTGTGATGACACATTCTTGTAAGTTAAAATTGTCTTTGTCTCTTGATAAAGACACAAATAGCAAACACAGTCCTATTACTCCAAATGTGCATAAAACTTCTTCTTAATTCTCTACATACCTTGAAGATATATGTAAGAAGATGTACAGTTTATGCTACTTATTTACAGTAACTATTGTCTAGGAAAATTAATTTTAGTCAGGAAATACACTGTCCAATGTTATATTAATAATATTCATATTTTATTGTCTTTGAAATTCTCATTTTTCCAAAGACCTATGTCTGTGACAAAATGTGCAAACCTGACATTTCATTTTTATCAGTTTTTCTAACTCCTCTGATTGACATCTATGAATTTTTAATGAACAGAATAGACAGACATTGAATGCTATCACTGAAGATATATTTTTATTATATCCCCACTATTTCCAGTAGATCAACAACAGCCATGGAATGTGCACACTGGCTTTAAGGTTTTAAGTACCTTCCTAGATGTATTATATAAGTCAGTAACTTCAGAATCTGCTGAGGACAGTCTGCTTCTGAAACCCATAAATTACAGTCAGAATCATTATTCCCCTGGACAACAGCTGAAGCCAAGTATATACTATTATTAATTCAAACTGATTCCTGTGAAATTGTTAACATTTCAGTGACTTTGACAAACTGCATAATTCATGCTTTAAGCAACTTCATTTAATCCTAACTTCACCATTTCTTTTAGATTAGCATTTTGATGACATGTGCCTAACAAGGCCACTTAAGTTTTGCATATTTTCTTCATACGCTTTTATATTTATGTTTGATTATAGAGTTTTGGTTTTCCTCTGCTGTATTCAAAACAGTGCAGGACACAGGATTTGTAATTATAGGGAGTATTAACAATTGGTTTAGGAGCAGCACAGTAAAAGAGGAAGCAAATCAGAATCAGCAGTGGAAAAAAAAAGTAGAAAAAGGTTTTTGCATTGTTACATACACTTTTTACATGTGTATATTATACTATTACTAATGTTGATGACTTTTTGCAGCTTGACAAAGATGCCAGCACACCTATGATATTTAGATCTTAATATTGGATGTATTCTAACTTCTAAACATTTCTTTTTTTTTCTCTTGGGACAGTGGCAGAGTTGTGCTGTTTCCCAGATTTTCTAAATTGACTAAAAGCTAAGAAATAGTTCTTGTATTGAGGTAATTCTGGGATTTGGTGTTCAGAGTCAGCTAGGTGCTGGAAAAAACTTAGATGAGAAGCAACCACTGTTGGCTTTTGTCCTGTATTTTTAAAGATCTTGAAGACAGTGATTGACAGACCTACTTTGCTATTTCCAACTTTTCAAAGCTGGATTTTTTTTTTTGTTTTCCTATTCAATTTGGACTTTCTTTCAATTATTTTGGGACTTCATACATATTCAAACAAATCATTGCATACCTCATCATAAAGAATGATGAGGTGGAAATTTGAAAGAACACCAAGCCTTTCTGCTTCCTTTAGCAAAGTTTATACAGTAAAAATATGTTTTGATTTTATCAGAGACATCATCATTCCTTTCAGGGTGAAGAATCTCTAGCAAGGTTTTGACAGCTTCATCACAAGCAAGAACCTCTAGAGTCTGAAATCTCTGTCCAGTATGTCTGTGATAGAATAAATTAACATATGATTTTCTTTCCCTTTGAAGTTATGGCAGTATTTTGGCTAGATATGATTGAAAAGAACTTAAGTGTTACAAAATAAGATGTCTATATTCTCCAGAGCATGACCTAAAAGTGTAGGTGCAGCAATTAGTCTGGAAGATTTTTCTCCTTCTGTCTAAGACATTTTCAAACTCAATTTATAAAAAAAAGTAGACAAGTAAGATAAAACTTTTCCTTAAATAGGATTTTAGTCAAAGTACCTATGGCATTCAATGACTTTTTTATTGCTTTTGTTTTTGGGTAGTGCAGCTGTCTTCATAGATGATTAATAAAGATATTCAACAATGTGCTATATCTCTGGTAAAATTTAGTTTCATCTTAGTCCTATACAGCTGCTAATAAGCTTCCAGGTATATCATGACATTTATGAGTCTTAAACTGGAGATCTGTAGTAATTGAAGAAGTTCCCCTGTATTGGACAAAGATGTGTGGAATTCTCTTTTTTCAGAGAAATATCTCAGTTCAGCTGAATCACATTTTGGAACAGTAATAGTAGTTACATTAAGCTGTTGCCTGAAGGTCCTCTTCATGTCCTCACCTTCAGAGCTTAAGACAATCCATCTTTGGTTAGTAGGTATAACTCCCAACTCCATGAATTTATGGAAGCACTCTAATTCAAATATTAACTTCCAAAAAATGGAGAATGGCAGTGTTAGGAGGGAACATTGCCTGACTGCAGAGAAGAAAAGGACTCTAAAAGCGATGACTTAAATTTATGTTAATTTGAAGCTTTTACTGGGAATTTTTATATAAGAAAATTGCTTACTTTGCATCCAAGTTTGACATGTATCAGGTTTAGTATCTTTAATATTGGATTTGAATTCAGTTCATTACCTAATTTTCCATATTTTCTTTCTTCAGTTCAACTTTTCAGGAAAAAAACCTGAATTTTAACTCTCAAAACCCAAAACTGTATTTCAAAATCAATTCCATGGGTATAAAAGATATTTTAAAGGCAATATTAATTTTCCTTGTTGTCTCCTTTTATTTTGGAAAGATTTAAAAGGACCCTACTATCAAGCGCAATTACAGACAAACCATGCCTGAATTTCTCAGACAAATTCATCTCAGAAATTCATAAATCTGAAGTCTGTCCCCTGGGACTGCCTTTTATAGCTTAGAGAAGGGTATTTCTTATTCAAAGATAATTTAAAAAGATATTTTACAAAGTATGTAGTTTGAGTGCTGAAGATACCATTTTGAATGTCCACAAAATATATGGGATTCTACCTTTTCTTCTCCTTTTTAGCCAAATTTCACCAAGAAGAGTGTGTGCAATCACTTACCCATCTGTCATTCCCTTTTCTCTAACAGCCCTTTATCTGCTGGTCAATTTAAACTAAATTTGACCCAGAACTGCAGAGCTCAAAACAAATATACGCTTCTGAGTTTTTAAAATTCACAGGTGAGTAGAAAGAAAAAGACATATCATATTGAAAGAAAAGCTTCTTCAGGAGCTCAGGAGTTATTTATTCTTTCTGAATTCCAGGATGACTTGGGTTCACTTGAAACCTGGCAAGTTCTGTTCACTCCTGCCACGGTGACAGGTGGGAAAAGAGCATAGAATGAACTAGAAATATACACAGAGTAGGCTAGAAGCAAAGTGGTAAACTGAAGATGCCACAAATCAGATGTGTCATAGGTAGAAACAGCACAAGTCCCTGGGAAACTAGTTCGATTTCTTTCATTGTTCCCTAAAAAAGAAGTGACAAATCAAAGTTATTTTTTACCTTTCCACTCTTGTAAATGCTTTTGAGAAAATACTGAAAAAAATAAATTGAACTGCTTGGAACTTGATAGGGAGGAAGTGCTGGTAAGTTCAACTGATTATATATATATATACACACATACATACACATTATATATTACATATATACAATAACTGTGATCCAGAGTATATACAATACACTGTGATCCAGAGTCATAATCAAGCTTTTGCATTTAAAACCTTGAATCACACTAGATTTGGTGATTTTAAGAGTTACCTTAAATACTTACATGCACACAGATTTCCTATTTGAAAGATGTTTTTAAATTTTGTACTGAACTTTGCATCTCTGAGAACATGTCTGGTTCTGGGAGCAGAAATGAATGAATAATTAATGCAGTCTTTAGGATTCTAATTTTTACATTTTTTAAGAATCTAGGCATTTTGCATCCTATACCCACATGACTGTCTCTGTCTTTCTTCACCACTTGAAGCATTGTTGAAATCTTTGAAAAAATCTGGGTCTGCAAGCTGCTAAAAAAGCACTTTGTGGCATAGCATGTGCAGGTGAACTAAAGGTCAAAATCTGCTTGATGTGCACTGCACTTTGCTATCATTTGATGCAGACACAGGCAAATACATTTCAGCAGAATCTAGTCTATCATCAAAGTCAAATGCACATGGGCTTACAGTTTTTGAACCTCATATAATCTCTTTTGAAGTTCATAAAAATCATTATGAAGTTTTTTTCCCCGTTTGAGAATTCGGTGTCTTCATAGTATTTATTTGTCCTTCTGAACCCACCTTTCTGATTCCAGTTTTGTTTTCCCCAAAAGCAGCATCAGTAAGTCATTGCAACAAGTTATTAATTTTGCTAATCTGTTTGACAAATGCATGAGTTTTGGCTTTGTTTGGATCTTTTTTTAGGTTAGATGTGATTTGATTAAAATTGGGTTTTCTGAAATAGACAATAGCTTCAAATTTTGAACAAAAATATTACTGAGAAAGGGTTAACCTCACCATTTTTTCATTGGGAGAACCTAAAAAAACCTGGTTTGGTGATGAAGAAGTAGCCATCCAATTCTCATGTCTTCAGTTAGAAAACTGGATTGTCACAATCATTGTGCCATAGATAAATTATCAGAGATGCACTGTTCATCAGTGAGTGCATTTATGGAATGACACATCCCATAAATTTTCCCTAAACCAGGACACAAGTGATTCTATTCACTTAAGCATAATAAGCATCTCTTCTTAACCGTAGTAAGAAAAAGTGCTAGTTTATATTAATTTGATTTTTTTCTATTCTCCTATATGTTTTCTTTAAAAATTCTTCTGAAATTGACAGGCATATTACAGAGCAGGAATTAAAAAAATCTGAACTAAATGAAGAAGATTAAAAGAAAAAAGCGGTTTTTGATGACTCTTGTCAGACTATAGATTCAGTTTTCAAATACTTTTATTCGGTTTGTCCTAAATATGTCAGATCCAGACAGTTTACTTAAATAATGTTTTTTTGGTCTGCTGTTTTCTAGTCTTCCTTGTATATTGTCCAAGATGAACCTAAAATAGGTTGTGTGAAGCATCTAAAATATGTTATAGGAACACATCTTCAAAATCACTGTGGTTGTTGTATTAAATGAAGTGATGGAGGACTCTTTGTCACAGTAAACTAATTGGTCTTTCAATACAGTATTTCTAGGAAACACTAGCAATTTATTTACTTTATGTATCTGCTTTCACTACTATTTTTTGAAAAAAAAGCCTGTATTGCCATACATCCATGAAAGGCACTGCCTCTGTTGATAACCTCTGTAAAGGTGTTTCATGGTCACAGTACATGATATACAACCCTGCTTTTGAGGAAGGAATTTTATAAGGGCTCTTTTATATTTTTTGTGAAAGGCACATGACATGGTACATATAATACTTTAAGTGCACTAGTAACAGATTTTATGTATCCCAAGAACACTTTTTCTTAGTAAATTACTCATTCAAGGTAAATGATGGGAAACCAAAGTTAACATTTTTAGAGGGTTTACAGACAGAGGTATGATGTAAAAGATATATGATTCTTTACAGAATCTGAATTTAAAACAGGGCAAAAGTATCAATATGCACTCAGACTATAAGTTTGTATTTTTATGTGTGTATGAATAAATTTTGCAATATGCACTCAGACTATAAGTTTGTATTTTTATGTGTGTATGAATAAATTTTGCTTAAAGAATACAAGAGGTATATTTCAGCATTTCATTTTAATTGAACCTTTACAATTTTTATATTATTTTAAACGCCTCTCCTGTGTTTACCTAAAAAAGAGAGAGTAGAAAAGTTTGCTTTTGATTAAATATTTTTAACGCCTCTCCTGTGTTTACCTAAAAAAGAGAGAGTAGAAAAGTTTGCTTTTGATTAAAAGAGTAAAATAAATATTTCTAGCTTTACTTTCCCTGTCTTCCTGTAGGTTTAGTGGAATATACAAAGTAAAACAGTATAGGGAATAAAAAGCAGAAGAATAGCTAGAAGTGCAATCATTGCTGGTAGAGCCTTAGTCATCTTCCTTGAAACTTACTCATCTAGCATGGGTAAAAACCTGTCTACAGTTTTCTGCCATAGGAAAAATGAGTCTTTCAGATCTTAAACATACATTCTCCTGCCTGATCTCACCTTTTCCTCCTGATTTTCCAGTTCAATAGTTCTTGCTCTTGCAGCCCTTTGGAAAGAGTAAAAATTGATTCCAAGAAAACTATCTGGAGAAAATAATCTGAAGTTGTGAGTAATTTTGATGATACCTAAGTTGTGATGTTACAGAGCAAAATTTTCTTCAAAACTCATTTCAGGCTCCTATGATGGAGGAGAAAATCAAGTTAAAAAAAATCCTAGCAATGCAACAAGTTCAGGAAACTTAGAAGTGATGAATTTTCCAGATTCTTCTGTGAACGTGATATTCTTCTTTAGAATTTTCTCTATCCACTGCATTCAGGATTGGCAACTGATATAAGGAACAGGGAGAAAAAGTACACTAAATATCCAATTTTGGCTATGGTTTCATACTTTCTTTTTCTGTATTTGTTTTCAGATTTATTTAAAATATAATATAGCTAGAAAGAAGTGTTAACAATGCAGAAAAGAAATTAATATAGGCTAGAATATCAGTAGAGAAGAACATCAGCCAAGAGAAGAATAACAGATTAGAGAAGCACTTAATTCTACTAATGTAATTAAGGTAGTGGTTTTATTTCTATTTTCAATCTAACTTGGACGACATCTCATAATTTCCAAGAACAGGTTTACCGAAAGGAGTCTTGAACAATCTGCTAGAAAGGAATAACTTAGATGGAAACAGATTCATCAGTTCAATGCTTGCTGGAGCATGGTGGCTCCAAGGTTGATGTCATCAGAAAAATGTTGGGATTTTGACCATGGGTTGGTCAAATTGACAGCTGACATAATGGGCTTTTTTTATAGGGAGAAAATGAGCTCAAGCAAAGGAGCTAGTGAGGATCATTGATAGAGCTTTAAACTACCTTGGAAGGAGGACAGAGAAGAAGGTGGTACTGGCAAACAGAAAGTTGAACACGGGTCAGCAGTGCCCTGGAAGCCAGGAGGGCCAACTGTGGTGTCCTGGGGGGCATCAGGCACAGCATGGCCAGCTGGGCAAGGGAGGGGATTGTCCTGCTCTGCTCTGAGCTGGGGCAGCCTCAGCTCCAGTGCTGGGGGCAGCTTTGGACACCATAACATAAGACATTAAAGTATTCCAAAGAATCCAGAGAAGGGAAACAGAGATGGTGAAGGGCCTTGAGGGGAAGCTGTATGAAGAGGGCCAGAGGTCACAGGTCTGTTCAGCTTGGAGAAGAGGAGACCAAGAGGACACCTCAGTCTATAGCTTCCTCATGAGGGGAAGAGGAGGAGTAGGCACTCTGGTGAGCAGACTGGAAGGAATGGCCTGAAGTGGTGTTAGGGGAAGCTTAGGCTGGATATTAGAAAAAGACTTTTCACCAAGAGGTTTGTTAGGCACTGGCAGAGGCTCCACAGGGCTGTGGTCACAGTATCAAGACTGAGAGAGTTCAGGAAGTGTTTGGACAATTGTGCTCTTGGGCACACGATGTAACTCCTAGAAACTCCCCTGTGCAGGGCTGAGAGTTGGACTTACTGATCCTTGTGGGTCCCTTCCAACTCAGCATATCCCACAACTGTGTCTTTGAATTCTCTGTTGTGCTACAGTTATCCAAGTACATGCAACATTTCTGGATGCATTTCAAAATAATGGAATTGTCATGACTGTGATTGTGTTTAATATTTTATATAAAATTCAACTGGAAATGCCTACTTCAGAATAAAAGCATTTTAAATTGGAATAATTTGCTTATTTTTAACTGGTTAAATTTCAAAGTAATGGAATTAAAAAATAAATTCAAATTCAGTTGAACATTGATTTCTCAATTCTATGAAAGGCAATTCCTATATTCTCCACCACACAAATCCTTTGAATGCACAGAAAAATCAGCTTTCAGTGTTCAGTTACCTTATTAATTTTGTACACTGGGAAAGTGAAAACAATGGGATTGTCTAGCTCTGTTGCTACTTTTGTGGGGTTAGTGGGAGAAGCTTTTGTAAATATTTCTAAGATGCCCTATTATCAATGATCAGTGTTTTAAATATAGATTTTGAAACTGCTTAAATGTATTATTAGGTTCACAAATTATATCTTTATTGCACACTGGGCTTAAGTTAGCACAAGCAATAAAAACTTGCAAATGATGGATTGGAAAACAGTAAGAAATTTAGGTGGATATGTGATTATATTTATTTTTAAGTTAGTTTATAGATTACTTTCCAAAAAAAGCCCATGTAAACAAAGCTCTGGATAGAGTTGTTGCATGAGACATATTACAGCCGATTCTTTAAGCTAAAGTTTGATAGATATGATTTGTGAAAGTCAACAACCTCTGCTAATCTTTCTGTAGAATGTCAAAGCCCAAAATGCAAACATTTATTACTCACTGAATTAAATGTAAAAGATGCAGCTTCATGCATTAGCAGTTAGGTCCATAAACAATTTATTCAGTGTAGAATGAGCTTTAGTTATTAAAAGCAATAAAATCTTGCAAATAAGAGATTGTTCAGTAATCCTAAAATGCTAACACACTGCAACTGGATTCTTAGCAGATGTCATTATTGCCTTGAAAAATTAGCAGTCTTGCACTATTAATATCTTTCTTTCTATTGAATAATTAGAAAAAGAACTGAAAGAGAAATATATATAATTGTGTATTTTTGGCCTGTAAATAATGGTATTCTTTGAACACAATAACTAAATTAAATGCTCTTTATGTTTATAAGATCTACTCTGTGTTTACATACCCAATATAATTTATACTGTCCACGATCTTTGTACTTGTCCACCATAGATAAAAACCATGGAAATACAAATCATATTTTTTTGAAGAGCATGTGACAATTTAAAAGAAAGCTACCTAACAAATTTTGTTAGTACCCATTTGCTCTAAGTTTTCAGACCCACACCTCTGCAGTGTTTTTATGCCATGTATACCAGCTCTTACTATTGTGGTGGTGGGTCTTCATTATGAAATTAGTTACAATAATTATTGTGGTGCAGTTACTCTTTCTCAAAATTACCATTAGCTTTCATGCCATTTCCCACTACCTGAATACAGAAATTTTTCAGAATGCTTTTTTCTTTCATCATTGAAGATGGCTTGATTCCATGGAAACTGTTGGAGTTTTTTATATATTTTTGAAAATTATTTCATACTCACCTTTTTGCCAGCCATTCAGGTGAGCAGGTGGTCAGAGGGTCATTTGGAGGTGATTAAAAGGAGCTGATCAAGCACTGCTTACTCTCCTGGAGCTTACCAGGATACTCACTGAACTAATTCATCCCTCTGACTATTACCCACTGCTGGTTGTCCAGGTTGGCAGTGATGAGATTGACAAGAAGCGTACCAGGATAATTAACAAGTACTTCAAGGCTCTGTGTTGATTGGGCTGACGGCACAGAAGTGCAGGTGCTGCTCAGCTCAGCTCCTTTGCTAGCAGGGATAAGTGATGAAAGGAACAGGAAAAACCAGGTTATCCACAGGTGACTTAAGGGCTAGTGCCATCAGTGGAATTTTGGTTTCTTTGATTGTGGGGCAATTTTTACAGCGTCAGGCATGCTAGAGTTGGATAGCTTCATCTGTCTAGGAAGGACAAAAGTATTCTAGCTCATGTGTTGATTGAGAAGGCTTTAAACTAGGTTTGAAGGGGGAAAGGGATAAAACCAGGCTCTCCAGAGATCAGTTGAAAAACAAGTTTTATATAGCCATTATCATGTGATTTACATATGTCTCAAAAGTCTATGTGTGATCTAAACTGCTATCACATTTAGCAAGTCCATAAAAATTGATTTAAGGACAAATAAAAATTTTGCTTCTCATGTAATTACCAGAATTTCATTTTCTTTTAACTTGTTTCATCATACTGTATTTACAAAATATGACAGAATTGAATACATACAGGTTAAAATGAATGAAAGAAAGATTGGAGAAGTAGTACAAACAAATGACATTTGGAATGCTGTATACAAACAGATATAGAATATAATGGAAAAAATATAATTTATAAACCAAGCAGAATTTTACAGAATTCTTAAGGTGATATTTTTAACAATAGATTTAAGGGTAATTTTTGTGGCTGATTCAATTAGTTACAGATGACACAACCTTTTTCTATTTCTCAATAGCATCACAGGGGAGAATAGCCCTTTGCAGGTCTTACAAAGCCATCACTCAGGCGTGCATTTCACTTGTGAGCCACAGAGTAGTTTTTGAATTGTTAATGTCTTATGAAATGTCAGTATGATGAATTGTCTTTTGAAATATGTAGCAATGTCAACTTTAGACAGACACAAAGTTGTAATGTATATTGCACAACAGTATTTGCATAATGTTTTGCCATCAAACAGTATTTTAAATTCAAGCATTAAAAACATGGAGCAAAACAAATTCAAGGTTTATTAAAGCTGGAATAAATTCTGTGTGAATATCTGAAATATTGTAATTAGCTTTACATAGTTATTGCAATCACATAAACTATGTTTCAGATTATTCTTGACTCTGCAATATCTCCTATGGCTGAAAGTTTCAGTATTAATTACTGTCCAGTTCATTAATTGTATATATAGGATTTCTCATTGACAGACAAAATTAATTTTCATTATTCTTTAACTAGGAATGAGCCTGCAGTGAAAAAGGTTGGAGTCTCAGCAGCAGCCAGTCATGCCTAGTCCAGGCAATTGCATCAGGAGGACATTATCTGTTCAGTGGCCACAATCGAGGAAAAGAAAATTCCTGGGCTTTTCTATGCTCAGGAATCTGTGATTACTGGGCAGCTGGAAGAGTTCTAATGTGTCTAAGTCTGCTTATCTGACAGCACAGATTTCCACATCCTCAACAAAGCTCCTTAACCCAGGAGCAATATAAAGGAAAATGTGGACAATTACATGGTAGGATTCAACAATAGGTAGAATGTCCTGGGGTGACTTTATGATACTGGTCAGCCCAGGAAAATGGCAAATAGATTGTTTTTACATTATACAGATATAAACTGTAGGATTTACCTGTACAGTATGCCTCAGTGGAGGATTTCTGTCTCATAAGCCTTGATGAGGGGAAAACAAATTCTATTAACAGAGGCAGGAGAAATATTGAGTAAACTAAAGGGATATTTAGCTTGCTTATTTTAGTCTATGGTCATCAGGTTCCAAACATCCCCTTGGCAATATAGATTTTCCTACAACGAATCCAGCTGAAGATCCTATGTATGTTTTATTCCCTAGTAATTGTTGAAGACTGGGTCTTGTACTTTGAAGGGTCTTTGAATCCTCCAACTAGACAGTTAATATAATATTAAGGACATGTAGCCCCCACAACGAAACAACAAACCACTAGAGAAGGAAGATTACATTTTTTTCAAGTAGACATTTTATGAATAACTTGAGATTAAGCCTTTCTCTTCCAGTTTAAACAAACAAACATACAAGCAAGAAAAATCTAATAAGAGGAAGGCAGTTTCAAATATTTGAACTTACTATATGCAGTGTCAGACCAGTGTTTTCTTCCCAGCCTCAAAATCATTCTTCAAACTTGTTGAATAATTTAGGAGGCACTGTATACTGGCATCTACATATCTTTGGTCGTAACTGGATAGCAAGTTATTTTCTTACTTGTTGATCTCAATTCCCTTTTTGGTAAAATTCACAGAATGGCTTAATTGCTTTTGTGTCCTAACTGGTTCATGAGTCTGCCTCCAAAATTGTTTTTTTGTCAATAATTAGGCACTTGCAATTACAACTGTGAATATGTGTTACAAATATTTCATTTTCTTGTAGTTTTAGTTGGACTGTTCTGGAGCATTAAAACAGCATATTTAGGAGGTATGTTTTGCTTTGTCAGAAACACTGATCTCCCTTAAAGTTCAGTCCAAGAGAATTTTTAATTAATTCTTTCCTACCAGAAATAGTTCTTGGAAGACTTAAAGAGGAAATGTGTGATTTCATTCCATGGGGATGAGAGGGTATATTCACAGAAAGGGGAATGAGTAAGGGGTAAAATATAAAATAAACTTTTCATTTCAACTTTCTACAAGAAAAAGAAACCTTAAATTTCCTCTAGAAATTGCAAATAATGTTAAAAGCTTCAGTGACTAAATACCTGTTAAGACCTTACAGACAAACTAAAATCTATTTGATTAAAAATTATTATAAAACTATTTATATGCCTAACAGTGCAACTCTCTTTATGATACCAACCATATTAATTTCTTGACAACCTCTGATAAACACCTCATATTTTAAATAAAAAAAAAATTAAAGAATTAGTGCAGTGGTAATAATATAATTAACATACTGATGATTGATTTTTTTTATTTTGGAATACTTTAATAAGGTAACTTTTAGCAAATTACATGTTAAGCAGAAGACAAAAGAAAAATATTTTAAAAAATATTTAAATATTAATTACATTGCTTCACCACCAGTACCAATACAATAAATGAAACATAGTCTTTGTGAAAATCTTTTCTATGGGAAATATTTTCTTAAAGTTGCGCTTTTGACTATATTTTACCTTGTTAAAGTTGATATTTTGACTACATATCTACCTTGTTATGAATTTATATGTGCCACATCTTTTGTTGCCTGTAAGGCTGTAACCTCCAGAGGGCTATTATCGTACACGGTCACAGAAATGAAGCAGTTTTTCACAAAGTCCTTTCTCCACAGTGCTATCACATTGTTTAACATAGCTATGTCACCTACTTGCCTCAGCAATAAAATGGCAAAAAATATCTTGCTTCTGTATAATTCCTCTTGCTATTTCCTGCTACAGAAATAAGTTTTTTCTGAAGGTACAACTGAAATCCATCTAAAACCAGAAAGTTTAGTTCTAAATTTAAAGATACAGAAGTTTCAGGTTTTCTGCATTCTTTGCTCTATGCAATTCTTCAGTGTATAAATTCCATTTTTTTGATGTGCTATAGTCCATGTCAATATAGAAAGGATAAATATATGTGAATATTTCTCTAATATCAGAACTTTATTGAAACAATTAATTAAACGAGAAAACAATATTTAAAAGACATTCTAATCTTCTCACTTCTAATTATCTCTTCTTAATTCCTATTTTATTGTTAAGTTAGCCAACAAAAGAAAGCAGATAGAGCTACTGGTGGATTCTTAAATTACTTGTAATGCATCATAATTCAAAACCCCTGATCTTTCATCTCAGTGGTACCCAGTTAGGTTCCAGTAACAATATTGTGAATTTTAACTTTAAATATCTTATTGATTATAAAAGCATTTTAGAAATAGAAGATTATCATATGATGAATTCTGCACCCCACTGTGTGAATTTTTCAACAAATTTCATATGTTATAAGGTTAAAATCAAAAGGTTAAGGAATGTTTGAACAAATGAATATCACTGAATATGTCTGAGAGAAAGATATTCCTTGTAGGATTTTCTGTTTGTATTGTATTCAGTGACCATTTCATACAAAATTAGGAATAAGCCAGGATGGTGGGACCTTTTTGTTTACAGTTGAAAGTAATATTCGCTGAATAAAAGTGTGTGAATCTCTTTGCCCTTCAGCTTTTCCCATCTTGCATTTCTGCTACATCAAGACATGTTCTCAGCTATGAAAACTGAGATATTGGAAAAGCACTAAGTACTCCTTATGTTGTCCTCAGCAAAAAGCAACAGAGAATCCTGTGAAAATGTACTTATTTCCAGTGTTTATAACTGAGTTAAACAAAAGAACTCATGACTTCAGAAAGACCCGGTTCCACCAAATCAGAGGCATAAATTTCCTGCCTTCACAGTCATGAGGGGAGCCAACTCCACATCCATTGCAGTATTTCTCTGAAATACACTTACTAAGAAAAAAATTGACCCCCTGAATCCTATTTGTGACAGATACTGTGTACCTGACACAATCTGGGTTTAGACTCCAAAGCTGATATATATTTTACAGAAAAATGGAATCAAACAACTAAAAAAAGATAGCATTTCCATTTTGAGCCCTGGGTAACTCCTAAGCAGGGCAGTAAGAATTCAATTTCAAAGCAGCAGAGAAAGGAAAAAAATACATACAGCGTGAAGCTTGGGAGAGTCAATGCAATATGCCATGTTTTCCCAGAGGTTTCCTTTAGTTCTGATGCAGAATCTAAGGTTTTAGTGGATAAACTTTTCATGGAGTTTCAATGCAATATGTGTGTTATTTCACTAGTTCCAGATGGAAGGGACCAACAGTGATAATTTACTCTACTTCCCTGACCACTACAGCACTGACCAAAATTTAAACCCTGTTATAAGGGCATTGTGCAGCATCATATTGGAGTAAAATGTAGAGTAGACAATCACAGTTACATGACTAAACACAATTTCAAGTCTGATGCAAAACAGGAAAAGAAAATCCCAGAAAAACATAGCAAACCCTATATTTTTCATATTAAAAATGGAAAAAAAAACTTAGCTATTTTAGAGGG